ATAAATTATTGAGGGGTTGTTTAAATGGATCCAGTGGCTAAGGATGAGGAATTTGCTTGTTACAAACTTATGAATACTATTAGAAAGTATGTTGATGCTAATAGGTTAAAGAATGTATTAATACAAGGTTAAATGATAAACCTGTAAGTGGAAAATTGGATAATGAATTAAAGTTCTTTATTGTGGTTCTAAAACGGTTTAGATGCTTTGCATGATTTAAAATTGTTAATTATGTCTCCCTATGTTATAAGCATATAGTTATTTATCTGCAAAGAAATAAGTATGCTTAGATGGAAGTTAATTGATGTTTTAAATTTACTTTACATTGCATCAGTTATGGTACTGTTTGAAGGAGTTATATGCGTAGTCCTACTTTATAAATTTGAAGAATTGGAATAAGATTTCTAAGTCTTATATTGGATGTATAATTTGATCATACACATGTTTGACTATATGTATGCTTATTTTGGAGTATGATTGATGAGTATTTATTCTTATTTTATCAATTATACGAACTTGTGTTATCTGGAGGATTGTATACACCGGTATGAGACGGTGACATACTAGGTATGGACTAGTTCAAACACTGTGTTCTACCTAACCTGGATTGAGTCATGGATTAACCCTAAATGTTAAGTCCATCTCATATTTGTATCATGTCAATAAACCAATTGAATGACCTACTTGGTTTCAGGATGGATTGACTATACATATATTAAACCACTACACAGATGGTTGATATTTTGTATTAAGAGTATGGATTTTATATATTTATGATATGGTGCCATTGTATGAGCTTGAGTCTCAGGACCATGGTTAGGGTGCGTATATCACCTAGGATGGATAACTGGACAGTAGTTGCTGTTCCCTGGTAGATTTAGGTACACATGACCACATTATGTGCAATTTGCATGGTATCTTTACTCAGGCTGAGATAGACTTACTGGACTAGCGAGCGTCCTATAGTGTGTACTATATATACATATATGGACTACTCTAGATATTATTGAGTCTATTTAGGATGTATCTGCATATCGAATTATTGTATGGATCGTAGTAGAATATGACTTGCATGTGGGCCTGACCCACTCTCTTATTTTTCAGGTATTTGTCAGTTCTAGAGTTAGAGCTTGGACGTGCGGCGCAGATACAGATATTCATTCCTCCAACTACGTAGGAATCTTTTCTATGTTTAGCTTTAGATTCTTTCTTAGTATTTTATTTACTTTCAGTTTGGGATTTTTATTAGGGGTCCACTAGAGATGGATTCCCGAGTTGTTAAATTATTGGAGGGTTCTATTTTAAGGAAGTTTTAGATTGTTGGATCTTAAGTATTCAAATTTTTAAGGATTATGTTTTAGTATTCTTTTCAGCTTTTAAACTTTTATTTCTTAAATTCCTTTTGTATTATATGTTCGTTATTATATATTAATCGTTTGATATCCCTCGAGTTTGGGCCTGGGCCTGATCAACCCGTGTCTCGGATCCGAGGGGTATTACATAATGCGTTTCCAAAATTGGTTTGTGCATGGTAGATGACTTTACGTTATATATATATATAATGCTAATACATATATGTTGTTGCACAAATTGCCGATTTTGGAAACTTGGGATGTTGTTGTTATGGCTAAGGCTAGGGCATGGTTCTAGTACGGGGGATTGTCCCTCTACAAGTCTAGTGCGCACATAAGGATGTTACCCATGAGCTAGTAACCCTGAAGTAACTATGGTGTCGGTTTGATCCAGCGTGATGTCCAAGTATCCACTTTGGTTTGATTTCGCATTTACATTTCCAAGTTAGTAACTTTGTGAAATTGCATCTCATTGTGCTATGTTGAAAATTCTAATGTCAATTTAATAGCGTGGATCACATTATATTGAATTGTAAACTTTGTAATAAGTTGAACTTATGCATGCACATTCCCTACGAGTAAACTTGTTTACTCACCCCGAAGTTACCAGGTGTTTTTCAGGTAAAGAAACGATATTGTGGGATGCACAACACCCCTAGGCTTGCTTGACTACTCGGAGTGTTTTTGTTATATTAGAATATACTCTTGTTAGAATGTCTTGCTCCATTTTGGTTTATTTTGATAAAACATGTATTAGTTGTTCAAACTATGTAATGTGCACTTAAGCGCACCTTTTGTTACTCTAAGAATGTGTTTGTAATGAGGTCAAGGGCCAAAGATACTAATGTGATATGTATGCTAATTTTGACTTTATTGTTGCATATGGAAGATATGTTATTTAATGCATTGAAGGGTCATATTTTGCATATGACATGCCATGAGGGCGTAGGCCATTGTAGCGCGTCCATTCTATCATATTACACATGTGTGCGTGGTCGTTTCCGGGCAAAACCCATTCATTTGTGATTTGAGCCTCCAATAGACTCATTTCACATTTTTTTTGCAAAAACTGAGCATAAGGGCATTTTGGGGTTTTCACATGAAAAATAAAGTTTTCTTTTGGCATGGTTTCTTCTTTGTGTTTTTCTCAAAAATGCCCAGAAAGTCCTCAAAATCGCATTTTAAGTCCCAAAAGCTGCTAAGCTCGTCCGTCCCTTTTTCAGCACTGTACCTTCGACTTCAAATTGTCATATTTTCCTCATTTTAACTCCGAATTGGTCCGTTATTGAGTCTAAACTGACCGTATCAAAATAAGCTTTCCAGTGGTACTAATTAGAGCTTTAGATTCCATTTGTAACTCAAGTTATTCAAGTTTTAGTGAGGTAGTGTTAGGATTTGGTTTGAACCGGAAAGGGGTTTTCTGTTCTTAACTTCAAGACTTGATATCTTTTCCGTCCGGACTCCAAATCAGGTGATTCTTGAGTCTAACTTTATTAATTTTTCATTGTATTTCCAATGGTGTACTTGGTAGCATCCATTTCTCTTTAAAATGACCATTTTGCGCCTAGGTTCATTCTTGTTCGTTTTTGAAGTATCGTTTCTGCATTTATATTCTTTGGGTCTTATGACTTCATTGAGGGTTACATTCGTGTCCCATAAACATGTAGTATCTCCAGAGACCGTTGTTTTGCTCTTTGCTTCCGCATTCTGCGTTCGTTATCGGATCTACGTTCGGTTTATCATAAGACGCACTGGCCTAAAAACCAAGGCCGTCACACCTTCTTTGGTCCCGAGCTTCCGCACTTCCTTTAAGCCTCAAGCTCCTATGCAGGGGGAGCTCGAGATGAACAGTTAAGTTTAAAACTTCCTCTATAGAGGAAAACTTTAGAGAAAATGGCGAGACCCATCCGACTATAGCGGGTACCTCCACAAGAGAGATGAAAGCGGCGACCCTTTCCTCTTGCGAGTTCAGCATCACAATTTCAGACCTAGTAGCTCGAAACTACCGATTTTCTAGATAAATGCCAGGCACGTCTTGACATGGTCTAATCAGCACTGACTAGAGGTCGCGAGGAGGGAGCTCGAGGCTACGAGGAGGGATCTCGAGCAAAAGACTGAGGTTATTTTCTAAATTATTTCTTAAATTTTGTAATTCTTCTCTCTTTTACTCTTTAAATTCGTTTAATTTCCTTTAAAAAAAAGTCAAAATTTCCTTTTTTAATTAAACTCCATTTTTTTTCTCTTTCAAAATTCTCTTATTCTTCTTTCCTTTTTAAATTTTTTGTTAATTATTTATTTTTCTTAAATTACTCATTGTTTGACGTATTATTAGCCTACCTGAACATGCTGTGTGGATAGAATCTGGGAATAGCACACCAAAGCAGTGATGGAAAGGCAAATGTGTCAAAATGCTCTTCAAAGACCCTATGTAATGTAGAATTCTATTTTCTTTCCAAATCAAGTAAAGACAACAAGCCTTCGAAATAAGCTAACCGTTTAACGAGTTTCCTGTTTAATGAGAACCCAGGCTAATAATAAGCAAAGCCGTAGTACTGGTCTAATTGTACTGCACCCTCTCGAAGCAGGTGTGTCCCTCCATTCCCGCTTTCAGAGTCCTTGGCTGACTTGACCAATGGTTAGAGAAGATAGCTCGTGACGTTCGCTTTCCTTGCGGCTTTCTGACTTTCACTTTATAGGAGCACCGGCTATCGGTATCAGAGGTTTCTGAACTGATAGTGGAAGTGATAAGGTTAGATATCTTTGACAGGGTTGTCTTTTTTGTTGATTCTTCCATTCAAAAAGGTAGTGTGATTTGCTTAGGTTAGATGTTAGGTCACCTTGATCTTTCTTTGTTCTGTTGAAGTTTTTCTACGTAGGTTCGGAATTTGACTAAATAGAGTCAGTAAGTAATCCAACTCCGCTGAAGTCACCTAAGCAACTCAAGGACAGCAGACTTTTCTGCTTGTTTAGTCAAGGTCTTTGTCTCTTGATTATATAATTTATATTTATTGTCGTGATTATTGAATATATATATAACTATAACACTGCCCCCGTCTGAATTGAATAGAAGAAAATGGTCAAAAATAAATAAATAAAGGTTTCGTTTGATTAGGTGGAATCAACTAGAAAAAGAAAAGAAAGTGAAATTTTTTAAACTTTTCTAGAGTTTGGATAGAAAGAAAAGAAATGAGAGAGAAAATTTAGTTTCCGGCATAATTTTTCCCTAAACTTTTCCCACACAAAACTTTTATCCAACTACCTTATTTTTATTTGTTTTTAGGTAACTCTCTTCTCATTATGTGTACTTTTAAGAAACAATCTGTTTGTTTTTTTTTTTTTCCAAATAAAATAAGATAATAGTATATATATTTTAATATAATAGGCTAACCCTTAACCATGGAGACACATGAGGTTCAATATTAAAAGAAAAAAAATATTAATGTTTAGATGAATCTCTAGCCTCTCTACTCTCCAATTATGTTTTTTTAAAAAATATTAATATTTAGATGAGTCTATGCTCTCTAATTATGTCTAATTGGTTGTATTATTTTATTACTATAAATTTTTTTTTCATCATTCATTACACTATATTTATTTTTAATTCTAATAAATATAAGGGTTGTTGATAACTACGTCATTTTTGTTTTTCATTTTCATTCTGCCCAAAGTAACAGAATACTAGTGATTCTAATTTCTATAAAACCAACGGATCGTCTCTTTTGCTGTAGCAAAACCCCAAACCTCGGAAGACTCGGGTCTTATCAATCAGGCATCCCAAACCTACGATCCGTTGGTTGAAAGCATGATCTGCTGTGCTCTCAGACGAGCGTTTGTAATCGGAAATGGTTTCGCAGGCGCAGAGAATCAGTGCTTTGGTCTGGTGCGTGCCTTAGGCCTGTCCCATCGACAAACGCTATACGTGAGTTGTTTTTTTTTTTTTTTTTTTTGAAGCTTGCAATCAGTTTGGTTTCCGACAGAGAGAGAAATAAAAAGAAAAAGAGAAACATACAAACTGAAATGTACATACATAGTGTGTATTTTCGTTGTTTGGTTTTCAAATGATGAGAAATTTAACTCATTTCACTGTTGGGAACGTAGATGGAAAGAAAGGGTTTATTTGTTCTGTTAATAATACCATCAATAATCATGGGTGGTGCCTTTGGGGATTGCTTTTATGATAAAATAAATAAAAATAATACACGGTCAAAGGTGTATGATACTTTTGTGTAGGTCCTAGATTCTTAAAATTTTATTCATGATTGTATTTTCCATGAATAATCTGGAGTTTTTGCTAACATGTTACTGAATGTTCTGTTACTTTGCATCCGAGCTATTACTATTATTATTATTATTATTATTATTATTTTTTCCTTTTCTTTTTGTTTGCATTTCTTCTTTAGCGAGTTTCCAGGCCAAGAGGAGGAATCAATGAGTGGCTTCATTTTTTGCCGGTTCCTCTCCACAAAAAATTAGACCATCTCATAAAGCGGATTTATGGAGATTCGCCATTCAAATTTGCTGCCAAAGGTGATAATTTGATTTCTTTCTCAGCTGGAAAAGACGCCGTATCTTTTTCAATCATTGTGTATAAACAATATAATAATGACGATAACAATATGTCCTATCGAAACGGGCGGATTCTATCTTAAATTTGATTAATAAAAGAAAATTCCAGGAGGAGAAACTGATGCCCTTTCTTGCTTTAATCTGTGGTGATGCAGGGTTATGCAATAATTTAGAAGCTGATGCAAAGCAAATAGCAAGAGTGGCTCGGGAAACATTTGAGAAGTATGTTCTGTTGTTCTTCTTTCAAATTTCATTTTCCAAATTCTTGAATATTAAAAAAATTGATTTAAAGAACCATATGCCACTCAATTGAATTTGCAATTTCAAAGTATTTTTAAGTCTAAATAATCTCAAGAAATAGACTATAGTCATACTTTCAAGAATTTCTCAGTGAAAATGCAAAACTAGCAATAAATCAACAACAAAATCACACATTTGTGAGTTTCTTGTATAAGATGCAAATTGAATGTCCTCGGGTTGCGCCACCATAATGTTTCGATAGACTTGCTTACCTAAAAAAAGATACTATTGAAATTTGACTGGAACGACTAATCTAAATTCCTCATGGCAAACACATTAACTTGACTTCAGAGACATTAAAGTATAACTGAACCAACAACATATTAACCTAAAATAATAAAAATAAGGTTCCAGCCAAACAGAACCTTGACATTTCAAAGTCCCAGCAGGGCAGATACGAAGTTCTCAATTTACACTTTTTTTTGTCAACATTTTATGCACAACGGCTTCACTAAATGTGAAAAATATAAAAATATTTCAATATAGAACCTGAAATGGTCTGAACGTGCATTCTTGACACAATGGAGAACCTTCATGTAAGCTAAAGTGAGTATGGCAGATATGATTGAACATGTGAACCTAATGGGTTCATTTTAGTAAGAGGCTCATAAATCCTGGAAATTTATTTTTCATTTTTAGGCACATCTGTTAGGAACCGCTTATTCATCAAATTCGGCTTAAGATTGGCTTGAATAAAGCTCATCCAAGTTTGTTGGTTACCAACTTGAGCCAAGTTTGAGTGCAATATCAAGTTTGTTTCTTAAGCGAGCTGGGTTTACTTTACATGTTTCTGCCCAGTAAGCTTGTGAACTATTGACTAGACACTGGTTTTTGCATAAAATGTAAGTGCATTCATGGAGCCTGCTTGAGGATATCTTGTAATAGGAATAAAATATATTGGTCTTCTAAATTTTCCTGATATTGAGTTTTGAAAATTGAGTTGATCTTTCATGATGTAGATGGATAATGCTGCTTAAATATCCTATACCAAAACCTTTTGAAAGTTTTGATCATAAAACCATAAGCTTACTATAACCCCACCTTTTTGGCACTGAATCGATGATTTTTTCTTCTTCTTCAGAACTTCTCACACGTCTTTTCTTTTCTCAATATAAACCTAAAATCTAAAGTGCTAGCCTACCAATACTGGATTTTATGCACCCTTGATGTGTGTTTCTTAGAACTTGGTTCTCTTATATCCTATGTATGCCACACACATACAACCTCTGCTTCACTATGCCCACCTTTCTGATCGGGGTCTAATCCACAAGGTAATGTGTGCTCCAGAGCATCTAATCCATGGTATGGTTGATGCGTAAAACCTCTCACATTTAAATACCTAAATATTAGAGAAAGGATTGAAATTCACCAGTTTGATTAGACCAGTTTGAAATAGTTTAATGGTGGAACAGAAAAATAGGATTCATGTAGCCGACACGAGTAGTTGGGAAAAGGCTTTGTTGAGTTGAGTTGAGTATTAAATTGTGGAACCACCAGGTTGTATTAAGTTTTAGTTCACTTGATCTTGTCAACAAGGTTAATTACTTCGCAAATCTTGTTCCTGTTTTGATGTTAACATGATTAAATAGTTGTGGTTATATTCTAATTTGATGGATGAATTCTGTATAATATGTTAATTGATAGTTTATATAGTCCATGTTTTAGTGTCTTTAAGAGTTGTTAATGACTTAAGACCTAGAATTTGTTAGCTAATATCAAATTGTGGACATGTCCTCTTGCAGAAATGGTTTTGCTTTTTCTTTTTTGGACTACATTACACAAGTGCTTTACAATTTGCATACTTCAGCGTCTAAAATCAGGATGATCGCTATTTTAATAATCTTAAATTGCATTTCTTGTTCTTCATTTTTTTACAATTTCTAGGGATGGCCCATTATTGGTGGTTGCATCTGGCCGGGATACTATTTCTGTTGCAAGTTCCATAAAGCGGTTAGCTCCAGAAAATGTTTTTGTTGTTCAGGTTTGAGGGGTGACTGTCTTTTGTCAATTGAAATTAGAATGATAACATTGAATTGGTCACATAATTCCAAAATATATGTATAAAAAATTTGTTCAAGGTTTCTTTAATCCTTTCCAAATTTCTTACATGGAATCCATATGCATAGGTGCTGTTATGGTTATAAGTTTCTTTTTCATTTTTTTCCCCTTCTTTGCATTTTTCTTTTTTATTTTGAGAAGTAAAGGGTAGTGGCATTACAAACAGAGTGTCAAATGGGACAGAGTGTATGCATGATGTGTATAGGAGCTGAAGAAGTTGGCTTTTTTCCAAGGAAATCGAATTTCCAATAAAGTTGTGATTGCATGTTTCTAAAATGCCAGTGTTTTCTCTTCTGTATTGTTTGTGTTTTTCCTTCTCTCATGAATATTTGAAGTGCCAGTCTCATGAGGATTAGATTAGGTTATTGAAGCAGCTTAAGTCTTCTTATAGTTATTACATCTCATACTTATAGGCTACTGTTTTCATTTGGCCTTTTTGGGAGTCAGTTCACCATTGGAGTACTCTACGTTTATTTTTCTGCCATCGTTTATCTCATAAATGCTTTGGCCTATCAATTGGTCATATTTCTCGTTTGTTTTATCCATTTTTTTTTTTGTTCAACCAATAGTTGTAATCTGTTGTGATATACTCCCCTGTCCCACAATTAGTGCCCATGTATGATGTATCCATTTTGGAATGTCCCAAAATAAGTGTTCGTTTTGAAAATGTAAAAAAGTCTGGTCTTTCCTAAATTAATAATGTAATTTTTTGGGTTAGTGGGGGCTAGTTTGGGAATTTTAAAGGAAGACATGCAATTAATGCACGTCTCCTTAAAATGTTGTAGTCCCCCAAAAAAAACGAATCTTACCGTGGAACAGGGGGAGCATTAATTTAAATACTTTTTCTGACATTCATTTCGACATAATGTTTGCAGATACAGCATCCCCGATCGCATCTAAATAGGTTCGATCTTGTGATTACTCCTCGTCATGATTATTATCCATTGACTCCTCAAGCACAGGAAAAGCTTCCTTGGTTTTTTCATAGGTGGGTAACTTCTCGTGAACCTCCTGACAGGCATGTGGTATGTTTCTTACCTAGACAATACTTTTTGTACTGTTCATTCTACTAAAGAAACTTTGATTGCTAGGGTTTTAGCTGTTGTTTACCATCTGAGTAATGTCAATAGTCTGATACTTCGAACTTCAGGTTCTCACTGTGGGAGCTCTTCATCGGGCTGATTCTACTGCACTATGGATTGCGGCTTCTGCCTGGCATGATGAATTGGCACCACTGCCAAAGCCTTTACTTGTGGTTAACATTGGAGGGCCTACACGTAATTTGTGCATTTCTAACCTTTTAAGTTACTGTGCTTTTGAAACAAGCTATCAATATGGATGAGCGATACGGCTCTCGGCAACCCCTTGCGTGATGGGCTTCTTCCAAAAAGATTTATCACCTATTATAATTTGCAAAGAATTTTCGTCTCTCCAAGAATACTTCAACTCTCTGAAATGGTTCCTTCCCATGTTAGTTATATCTAGAAAAAGAAATGAATATTTGATAGGCACTTAAATAGAATCATTTCATGATCCTCTATCCCAAAATATTTTTTTCATTTTGAAAAAAGTTTGGGACAATCAAAGTCTTTCAAACCGATGTTTTTTCTTCCCAGCATTATTGTATTTTTCCTTATTGAATAAGCCACAATGACTAAGGGCAATTTTGTGAATACTCTTGCAAGTTGCACCAAATATGACAGAAATGAAAATTTTAGGTTCTATTTTAGATTACATTTTCTTTCTAGGTACGATTTTAGGGGCCATTGGTTGGTATATTGGTAAAAGCTTGGACTTGTTTGAATTTTAAGAGCAAATAATTTGAGCATATAATGCAAAATATTACTCGCTCTTTACCCAGTTATCCCTCCAGGACTCTTCATTAATGGGGACTAACATAGTGCAGTAGCCTTTTCCTTGGCACAATGCACTAGAAGATTTCTGTACAGAAAATCTAGAAACTTATGTTTTAGAAGTTCAGTAACCCATTACCTTTGAACAAGTTGATTCTAACCCTCTTTCCATCTGTAAGACCTTTAATTTTCCTTTCATGTTTTTAAACCCTAAACTTACAAGCTTTCCGTGACTTACAGGCACTAAATAGTCAATCGTAAGCAGCACTTTTTCTACCCTTTTCAAGCGCTGTCATACATCAGTATGTTAAGTGTTAAAACTGTTATAACATTTACACACACACACACACACACACACACACACACATATATTTATGTTGGGTTAAATTGTAATTACTTATAGTTTATGGTCATTATGTAATTAGGTCTTTCTTACACTTGTATAGTCGTATATAATCCCTATTTTGTTTACTATAATGAGAAATATACAATTGCAGCCTCCGTATCTCTCTCTCTCAATCTCTACATGGTATCAGAGCCAAGAACCCAAGGAGAAGACGAAGATTGTAAGTTTGAAAAACACGCAATGTTACCTGATTGGGCTAAGGTAACAACGCCATCAACGGTGATGGTTTGTGCCTAGTTGACTAAGGCATTAAACTCGGCTCGGGATAGTGTGACTGTGTGACACTATCAGTATTACAAGATTCTAACATTGTAGGAGGAAATTGAAGAATGTAGAACCGAAAATTACAAACAACCAAAGGAAGAAACTTATTGTCTGCGTTTTGTTTTTTGTTTTTCTTCTTTTTCTTGTCTTTCTGGCAAACACCAAAGAAGAGAAGGAGAGAAAAAAAAAAAAAAAAAAAAAAAAACAGACCAGAAACAGAGGAGAAAAGAACAGAAAAAAAAAAAAAAAATAGAACTGAAGCTAAAAATAAAAAAAAATGCCATCTGACCTGCGAAGAAACGAGTCCGAGAATGAGTCTTTACCAGGAAGAAAAGAGGGAGGGAAAGGGAAAAATAAATAAATAAATAAATAAATATTGGAGCTGAAGCGGGGCTACCGGAAATGTAATTGGGTCCTACAAAACTGGGTTGGAGAAAACTGGTCTGGGTTAACCCAACTCCAGTGTCCAAACACTCCAAATCCCATAGTCAATCACCCCTCTTCTTCACATTCAGTCCCAAACTGCGGCTCAACGATAGCGAGGATACGCTGACCTCTGCAACTCTCTATTGGTGATACCAAAGAACCAGCCGATGGTAAAGGACCTCGTAATAAGCCCCAAACGAAGAAGCCGATCACAAAATCAGTCACAAATGACGACTACACAACCAACAACAACTGGCGATAGCAACACAGACGGTCGTCGGTGAAAAACACGGCAAAGAAATGATGCAATCAGCAACAACGAAGGCGAAGGACTGGTTCGAAACCTCCGGCAACAATCGCAATGACAACAAACCTCCGGCAACAATCGCAATGACAACAAACCTCCGGCAACGGCAAAAATCAACAGCGAAGCACACAACAGCGAGGACAACAGCAAGAATCGGATCTCTTGAAGCTAGTACACACCCTAGCCAACGATTTTCGAACTCGTAGAGGCAACGACAATGATCGGTTGCTTTGATACCATGTTAGAACATTTACATATATATATATTTATGTTGGGTTAAATTGTAATTACTTATAGTTTATGGTCATTATATAATTAGGTCTTTCTTACACTTGTATATAATCCTTATTTTGTTTAGGGTTTACTATAATGAGAAATATACAATTGGAGCCTCTTTATCACCATCTCTCTCGTTTTCTATCCCAATTGTTTGCCACTCTTGTTCCTAAGACTTTGCAGGATGCTCTTTCTAATCCAGATTGGCGACAAGCAATGGTAGATGAAATGGATGCCCTTCATTGTAATGGGACATGGGATCTTGTTCTTTTACCTCCTGGTTCCAAACCGGTTGGTTGTAAGTGAGTATACACTGTCAAATATCTTCACGTTGGTTCTATTGAGTGTTTGAAGGCTCGACTTGTTGCAAAGGGGTACACCCAGGCCCATGGTGTTGATTATGATGAGACTTTTTCCCCTGTTGCTAATATTTCTTCTATTCGAGTACTTATTTCCATTGTTGCCAATTGTAACTGGCCGTTGTTTCAATTAGATGTGAAAAATGCCTTCTTACATGGTGACTTGGTTGAAGAAGTTTATATGGAACAACCATCTGGGTTTGTTGCTCAGGGGAAGTATCGTTACACTGTTTGTCGCCTTAAGAAGGCCTTGTATGGATTGAAACAATCTCCACGGGCTTGTTTTAGAAAATTCTCTAAGGCAGCATTAGAATTTTGTCTTGACGGATCATTCGGTATTTCACCAGCGCACTAAAGTTGGCTTCATTTTTCTTGTGGTGTATGTACTATGTAGATGATATTCTGATCACAGGTGATGATTTTGAAGGCATTGCTAAGTTGAAGTTGTTTCTGCAAAATCGGTTCCACACTAAAGACTTGGGTAAACTTAAGTATTTCTTAGGTATTGAAGTTGCTAGATCCAAGGATGGTATAAGTTTATCTCAACAAAAATATTTGTTGGACTTATTAAAAGAGACGGGTATGTTAGGTGGTCGTCCGATTGATGCTCCTATGGATCTAAATATAAAACTCGTGTCTGATGAGGGTGATCTAATTAAATGACACGGGCAAATATCGACGCCTTGTTGGGAAGTTAATTTATCTCACTATCACTCGGCTTGATATTTCATATGCAGTTAGTGTCATAAGTCCGTTCATGGGAGCTCCTAGAATGCCACATTAAAATGCTATTATTCGGATTATCCGATATCTCAAGCAAGCTCCAGGTTTTGGGTTGCTATATAAATCAAATGGCCATCTCAGGGTGAAAGGTTTTACAGATGTTGAATGGGTTGGTTCTCCGTCAGATAGGAGATCTACTACAGGCTACTGCACATTTGCAGGAGGAAATCTTGTTACATGGAGAAGTAAAAACCAAACGGTGCTAGCTCGATCTAGTGCTGAAGCTGAGTACAGGGCAATGCCCATACCACTAGTGAGTTGACATGGATACAACATTTTCTGGAGGAACTTGGGTTGACATTTAAAGCTCCTATTCCATTAAATCTTGTGTTCGATGAGAGGACCAAACATATTGAAATTGATTGTCACTTCATTCGAGAAAAAATATTAAGTGGGAGTATCTCTACTTTATTTGTGAAGTCTGAAGATCAATTAGATGATATGTTTACCAAAGTGTTGGGTCATAATCGGATAAGGACTATTTGGTCCAAGCTGGGATTATATGATATATATTCTCCAGCTTGAGGGGGAGTGTTAGAACATTTACATATATATATATATATATATATATATATATATATATATTTATATTTATATTTATATTTATTTATTTATGTTGGGTTAAATTGTAATTACTTATAGTTTATGGTCATTATGTAATTAGGTCTTTCTTACACTTGTATATAATCCCTATTTTGTTTAGGGTTTACTATAATGAGAAATATACAATTGCAGCCTCCGTTTCTCTCTCTCTCTCTCTCTCTCAATCTCTACAAAAACATTTCAGTAGACTGTATTATTACTATTTTTTACCTGCTCTAGTAACAAGTCACTTGCTTGTGACCTTGCTGGCACCCTAAGACATTGTGTTATTTTGTATTTACTATTTAGGACCACTTGTCAGTTGTCACTATTTATTAAATATGAAACCATGCACACAAAATGTTGAATCTTAGCTTGAAAATCACATTTCAAATCCCTCCTTTTTCACTTTCTATTTTATCCTGTAGTTTTTGGTTTTAACAATATTATCCATGACTTTACAATATGTCAGCATCTCTTTTGTAGGGCATTGTCAATATGGTACAGATCTTGCAAAGCAGTTAACTGCCTTACTGCAGAATGTTCTCTGGAGTTGTGGAAGCCTGAGAATGTCCTTCTCTAGAAGAACACCACAGAAGGTATACATGCTTTTTAGCAATTCTTTAATTTATTATCTTGATGGTTAGTCATTGTTCATGAAGATATAATCTGCAGGTTTCTGACATCCTAGTGGGGGAATTTAGCAATCATCCTAAGGTTTACATTTGGGATGGCAAAGGTACTACCAATTCTTAATCTCACGTTAAGTATTCCTAAATATGTCTTAGAATCTGGAAGATTATCCCAGTGTGTATATTTTTATATAACACTGCTTAGATCCAAATCCGCACTTGGGGCATTTAGCTTGGGCAGATGCTTTTGTCATAACAGCTGATTCAGTTAGTATGTTGAGTGAAGCTTGCAGTACTGGGTATGTATGAAGTACGTTGATGACTGTCAGCCTTTTGACCTTAGTTATGTTGGAAGTTCTCTCTCTCTCACTTAAAAAGTTTTTCACTTCTTATGCTGCAGGAAACCTGTTTATGTGATTGGAGCTGAGCGATGTACATGGAAGTTTGCAGACTTTCACAAGTCTCTACGAGAACGAGGTGCAGTTCGTTCATTCACTGGGAAAGAAAATGTGGGTTATCAACTGCTGCATTGTATTCTTTGTTGCTAGTTGTAGATGCGAAATCACAAAATACCTCCTTGATAATTATTACTGTGCTTCTTTCTCAGAGCTCTTAATGATTGAATTAGTATATAGTGAATCTAGAGATAGAAGCTTGGGTTCAGAGTGTGAGCACGGGTCAAGTATGAGTGTAGTCACTTTGTGCATAATAATGCCAAAATTAGGTTTTTGTCCCGTCTATCTCTCAGCAACAGGTGCAGGTGAGGCAAACACTCGTACCTTTTATCAAATGATGCATTCCAACCGAGATTCGTAAAGAAATAGAACTGTTTTTCTAACCAGCTCTTATTGAATGAAATATTATTTCTGCTGCCCAAACAATTGGTATGTAAGGTAGTTTCCAATCATTATGGTCTTAAGATAAAATAGAATGGAGGAGCACGATTCATGTAACCGATTGCCAAATAGTTGGGAGAAAACTAGATTGAGTTGTATAGTAGTACCTAGTCAGTCATTGATAAAATCCTAATCTAAGGTATGACTGTACAGGTATCTGAAATATGGGGCTATACTCCTTTGAGTGACACCGTAGAGGCAGCTGGTCGTGTGATTGAAGCACTTGCCGAGCGTGGATGGAGACTGCAGCAGTAATGCGTTTTCAGTTGTTGGGTGGGTGAGCGGAGTTCAGTCAGGATGGTGCTTGGAATAGCTCTCTTCAGATTTTTGAAGTCTGTATGCTGCTTGAAAGTGCTTCATCCGCTTGGATTTAATTTCTTGGTAATTGGGTCTTCGAATTGCTTCATGTGGCTCAGTTTAAATTCTTATGGCATCGAATTGTTTGATTAAATCATCAGATCATATTGTTCTCAATTCAATTTGAGTCCAGAGGCGAAATGGGTCACTTGAGGACCTTGAGGTACATCAGACATTAAACCATTATAATATGGATGAAGGCAAGATTTGATAGACTTCAACAGAGAAGCAAACTGGCAGCTTCAGTTTCGACTCTTGAGTGATGGCAGTTAAACAGATTTCTTGGCTTACTCTGAAGATCTTTTTCGTACTGTTACCAAATTGATTTCCATTCAACTTCAATTGTTTTCTATTTGGGTTTTGGACGTGTTTAGGATCCAGAATGAAAGAGCTGTAGAGCAGCCTGTCATGTAAGAGATGAGTTATTGTATGTTAATAGATATCATATATATATATCTCCATTCTTATAAGGAAAGAATTCGAGCAGGATTTATTCTTTCGTGTTCATTATCCATTATTTTATTATTTTATTATAATACTCCGTATTAGTTTTATAGATTGGCAATGGAAGGAAAGCAAAGCATGTTTTTTCTGGCTTGTGCATAGGAGGTTTGGTCGTGATGTTTGTTCGTGCATTGCCTATAACAAGAAAGTTGGTGATTTCTATTGAAGCAACAAGCCTGAAGAATGAGTTGAGTGTAATAGAGAGAAAAATTGAACATCTCTAATTATGGTTTAGCCATCTAGTATCCCAAGAAAAGAAAAGAAAATTGTAATTATTGATATTATTTGCTAAAACTGCTTTAGGACATCATCAATTATTGGGTATTGACATGATTAGCTATTATATTTCAATTACGAGGTACTGGTGGGAATTAAGTATTTATTGGTAATTCTGAGTTAAACTAATCTTTTGTCAAATCTCGATCATTTTAAACTAACTTTTAATTCCAATCTCGTAATACGAAGAAGAAGCTAGGTCTATTTTAAAAGTCCTTTTCAACTAATGTGGGTGAGAGTGAGTAGCTAGCATTAGTGGATCAGACGGAGAAGGTAATTGTTTAGTTGACTGATTATTGGAAATAAAACTTTATTAGTTATGACCAATCAAAAACAAATTTGCAGGGTCCTACAATATTCATAAAAAATCATTTACACATTATTATGGACCAAGTAAGTTGTTATAATTTGATGTACTTTCTATATTTGACTTTTGACCGGCAGTATTAGAATTTAATTATGTCTATCTGCCCCATCATGCCTCTCTAATACCCTTGATTGAATAGTGAAAAAAAAAAAAAAAAAAAAAAAAAAAAACCACATTTGTACTGGATTTAAAAAGATGCATGAGCATTTTGCTAGCTTCATTTACTAATATATAAATTGTGTGGATCATCATACACTAACTTTTTACAATTTTAATTAATAGCAAATTAAGACCTTTAACTAACTCTAGCCTTCCTGGCTAGCTCTCTGGCTATATAAGCTCTTCCCCTCTATCTATTCAATCACAAGTTCTCTCTTGTTAATTTCTCTGTGCTCATTTTAATCCATCACAAGCTTAATTTGTGTCTCCCTTCTGCTTAAATATATATATATATATATTATAAAAAATGATGAATATGGAATCAAGCAGCTGCAGCATTGAAATGGGGGAGACAGAGACTCGTAGCGAAATGAAAGGAAAAGCCCCTCTCTTGGCCACTACTAAAGCAGCTGTGGCGCCTATGGAGCATGCAAATAAGGGAGGACTCGCGGTGGTCGGAGGAGGAGGATATAATAATATATATAAGAAGAAGAAGAAGGGCTTAGCAATATTTGACTTCGTTCTGAGGCTAGCTGCCATAGCAGCCGCTTTAGGTGCAACCGTCGCCATGGGAACTACCGATCAGACTCTTCCCTTCTTCACTCCGTTCTTCCAGTTCCAAGCCAGCTATGATGATTTACCCACTTTTCAGTACGTATATCTATATATGTATATTCTAGCTAATTATATACATATATCATGAGTCATGACTAAATCAATTAATTAAACTCATATAATACACACACACACACACACACACACACATATATATAACACACCATGAGAATCAATTAAGCTCTGTGTATGTCCATCTCATCATTCTCGTGGGATCATCAGGCTATATACCAAAGACTAGTTGGTTTAATATATGGTATGATAATTATTTAAAGACCTAATTCGATCTGGAGGCAATAACATATATAATTAATAGGGCATGCATATTTCAGTATCAGCCAAATTGCAATTTAGACTTAAAACACAGAAGATTTATACATTCATGCATTGATGTATATGTATATATTTGCAGGTTTTTTGTGATTGCAAATGCAATAGTGAGCTGCTACCTTGTTCTCTCCTTACCCTTCTCCGTGGTGTGCATCACTCGACCACATGCAGTAGGACCAAGGCTCCTTCTAATCATCTGTGACACCGTATGTGACCTCGATCGCTCCCTGATCTCTTTCTCGATCTCTCGATCATTTATATATCTGATCACATAATCACACACACACGTACACATATATATCTATGAATGAATTGAATAATATTAATGTGCGTGTGTTAGTTTCATTAATTATTGCGTGCATATATATATATATATATATACATACACATGGGCATATATGCAGGTGATGGTTGGTCTGAGCACCGCTGCTGCTGCGTCGGCTGCAGCCATAGTGTACTTGGCTCACAATGGAAATTCAAGCGCTAACTGGCTCCCAGTCTGTCAGCAGTTCACTGATTTCTGCCAGAGTGTCAGTGGAGCCGTCGTTGGATCCTTCATCCTTGTGGTTCTCTTCATGTTCCTCATTCTGCTCTCTGCTTTGGCTCTTCGAAAATAAAAATTCTAGTTAGCTAGGATGTCTATTTTTGTGATTTTGTTATACATATATTCAGCACCTGTGTACGTACTTCCTTGATATTTATCATCAACAGTACAAAAGTGTAATTTACTTGTTTGTATGAAAAATGGAAAAATTAATACGTAGTATTGCACTATTCCATCCTAGCTTGTTAATTTCTAGTAATTTACGTTAGTATAAAATTATCTATGTATATCTTTCTCGATCTATTGCAAATTAGATATAAATACTAAGAGTTTCTCTTTTTTTAAAAAAAAATATATATATATATTTTACCTATTTATAATAGGATAATACTTGAAGAAATCTCACTAGAACTTTGCCTACATCTCACTACAACTAACTCAAAACTAATTGAAATATGAAAAAAAAAAAAAAGTGAAAAAATAGAAGAAGGGGAATATATAGAGAGAAAATGGTGAATATTGAGAGAGAAGGAAGGAGGGCCGAATGAGGAAGCGAGATAATGATTCATTTGAGGCCAAAATATTGTTTCTAGCGACTTCTATGCCCATGTGACCATGTAATAATGTACAAAAATGCCCTCCCTTGATACCTATAACTACAATAATGCTATTACAAGTACTTAGCCACATATAGGTATACTAATGATGAAAATAATGAAAATGCAATGAAGCGGGAATTTTCCCGAGCACGAAAACTCGGTTCGGAGTCCACACGGGTCCTTTTGGACCGAAAAATTTAAAAATAATAAAATGAATTGTAATGCATTTTTAAAAGTTCTAAATTAAAAAAATAATATCTTAAATGACCCTCAAAACTCACTTGTCATGTAAATCGATGTTAAAAATAATAAAAAAGAAAATAAAAAAAAACCGAAAAAAAAAACATGACACTACAATTCTTTTTTTTAGTTTAATCTTCATAGTCTTAGTTAATTAACTTCTTTTACTTCCAATTCTTATTACTTCCAATCGAATTTATAGCTTGCTTTTATCACTTTCTATTTTTTTGGGAGACTTAGCAATCAACCAATTGAAGTGAATTACTTCTTTGAATGATTTAGAGGGGTGAATAAGTTAATTTGCTTGATTGATTAAATTACTTACAACTATGATCAATTAGACAGACATTCACAATCACAAAAATATAAAAATAAAGGTAAAGTAAAACAAGTAAATTAGAGTTTGAGACATGATACGAGAATTTTTAATGAGAAAAATCAAACGCAAAATCCTTCATTCTACTAAGAACTAATTTGCTGAACGCTTCTGGCTTTGCGACTCTATTGTCCAAACGCTCTAGACTTCAGGCTTACTCCATTGACTCTTGTAGAAGGATTGTTGGTAGATTAATAACACTACACAAATGCTTTGACCCTTTCAAAGTGTAATTTTCTTCAAATTTTGAATTATGCGAAGGCAAATAAAATCTAACTTCTCGGAATATCTAAATCTTCAGTATACTCCATTTCCGATCAGATAGAGAATATCACCCTAAATCACTCTTGTGCTTAATTATGTGTGTGCTCTAAAAAAAAACTCAGCAAATCATATTTGATTTTCTAAAAAAAACAGAATATCTCACAAAGGCTCTCCCAAAATATCAGTAAATTAAGTTCCAAAAAGCCATCAAAACCTTAAGAGAAAAAAATGTTTACATACAAGACAAATTCGTGCAAAAACATCTCCCAAAAACTTTGACCTTAAGGCTCCGTTTGGTTAGATGGAAACAAGCAAGAAAATAAAAGAAATGGAAAATAAAAGAAAAGTGAAGTGAATGGAAAAAAAAATTATTTTCTAACATGTATTTGGTTAGAATGAAAATTTATTCAAGAAAATTGTAGAAAAATATTAATTTGTTATTTTGGATAGCATGAAAGTGACAAAAATCGATTGAAGATACCAAATTTGCCCTTATAATTTTAAATACTAATGAATAAATGAATTTGTATTTGTTGATGAATATTTTTAGCAAGGAAATAGTAAAATAATGGATTATTAAACTTAATAATATAATTATTTATAATTTATTTATATTTAAAATAAGACTTCATAACTAATTATTAGTGTATGAGAAACGAAATTTAAAAAAAACACGGAGATGTATTGATGGCAATACTATTTTTTTTTTTAGAGAGATTTGATTGTATTTTGTTGTTGCGAGTTATACATGAACTTGTGGAAAAACAAAGAAAGGTGAAAAAATCGAAAAAAAAAAAAAACAAAGAAAAGTTGTTTTGTAGTGAACTTGCCTCTCAGAAATCCAGTACAACAATAAAGGAAGAAATTGTTTTTCACGATTAAGTTAATGAGTAAAATAGGAATGTCAAATAAAAAGGCAAACATTTCACACGAAAAAATTATTTCCCTGTGTTTTGTGCATGAAAAGTTTTGAGAGAAAATAGACGAGTATGGAAACAAACTTTTCTATTATTTTTCTCTTTCTATCTATCCAAACTCTAAAAAAAATTAAAAATTTTCTGTTTCCTTTCTTTTCTAGCTGTTTCCACCTAACCAAACAAAGCCTACGAGAAAAAAATGTTTATATACAAAATAAATTATTACAAAAACATCTCCCAAATTAAAACTAATAAAAAAGGAAACCAAGTTGGAATAACATTCCAATTTCCATATAGGTTTTAGAAGAATGCAACCGGTTCTATTTATGGCGCAACTGGTTTTGTTGACCAATGTAAAATTTAACGGTGAATTTGAAAAATGACACGCGCAACTTGTTCCACTACGCCAGTGAGATTTTCTTTAAAAATAAAATTTGGGAAATAAGGAACGCAACAGGTTGCACCAAAATGCTACCGGTTCCGGTGTGGCAGTGCACTTTTGAAACGTGAAACTTTAAAAAAATAAAAATAAAAAGTGCCTAATACCAAAACTCACCAATTGTAAAAATAAGGTGTTTACACCAACATACCTTTCCTAATAAGATATATTCATACGAATCAAAGTTAAACGCATATTGATTGTACTTATTGTTTTGCTTTTGACATCAAGGCTCAAAGATACAAAAAAAAAAAAATACAACTCAATTGAACACTTTTTGACATTAAAATTTACCAATTAAAAATTAATATCTCACAATTTGTAAAAAGAAAGCAAAATGATCCGATATGCATTAACTTTCGAACATTATATTCCATAATTTATTATTGTTAACAAGCCTTCCCATTTTCCAACAAACCGGATGAAGATTTTTTTAACGTTAAAATTGATTGAATCATTCTTAGGTTCAGATGACTTAGGGAATGTTTGGGATAGTAGAAGAAAAGAAAAGAAAGAAAATGATAACATTAGTTACGAAGGAAAATAAAAGAAAGAAAAGAAGAGGATATTGTTACTTACTTGTTGTGTTTGATTGATTAATAAATGAAAAGAAAGGAAATTATAGTAATTATATTTGGGGAAAGAAACTAATGTAATGAATTTATAATCATATCATTTTTTATAGAATTTTTCTCTTATAGATATAATGGCAAATTTGGTATTAACAAAATTTTATTAAAAATATATATTAGCTTTCCTTTCCTTTTATTTTTGGGAGGATAACAAAAGTTACTGTTTATGCTTTAATCTTTTCTTCCAAACCCTTTCATTCCCTCTCCTTTCCATCCAACATTTTATACCAAACACAACTTTTTATTTTCTTCCATTTCCTTTCTTTTCTTTTATTTTCTCCCATTTCCATTGAACCAAACTGAAGGAAGAATGAGAGGAAAAACGGGGAAAAAGTTCTTTTTCTTATTCCATTATCTCTGTTATATATGGTATTGAACTTCCTATGAGGAAAATGTTGGCAGAGTATTATATCACTGGAGTACAAGAAAATGTCAAAGGATACTGCATTATGCTAGATTATTGTCCTCAACATCCATCTGTATTTTGGAACTGTTTTATAAGTAGTTAATTCCAATTTATTGGTTATCCTTGAGTCTATAAATTTATATATTTATTAGTTAATTCCAATTTATTGATTCCGACAAAAGGTGTGCTGAAAATATCTTGGTACTTCTATTGAAACTAGTTTTAGACGAACACATCATTTTCTGGAATTGAGTCTATATATATATATATATGTTGCCTACAGTTGCACGCTATTTCAATCCTTCATAAGCATGATAAGCACAGTACTTGTTTCCAAAAAAAATGATAAGCACTGTACTACTTGAATCCTTCGTAGCATGATAAGCACTGTAGCTTATACATGACTAGAGGAAACATTATCTCTAAGTACCTTTTCTTCTTGGCTCTTGGCTTATTGTAACCTAAAACCCAATACGAAACGTATGTCTTGCAGGTTACTACAATAGTAGGGCATGCAACCAATATTGTTTGCATTTGGAAGATATGTACCAAGGCGTTTAAATTCTTGAGTCGACCTCAACCCTGTCCACTGGAAAAGTTATATATCTTTGAGGTCGCTTGAGAAGATCAGGAAGCAACCATAAACCACTGAGATGAACCCAATGAAAATACTGAGGAGCTAATATATATGAGTAGAGGCACGGGATCAGTTTCTCGCCCTCATAATCTAAACAAGTTGTGTTTTAATTTTGACCTTGCTCTCTGAATCCTTTTGATAGTAGCTGAGCATAGAGAAGTTCATTCCATGTATCTGGTACTCCGGGTAGGCACCAATGACTGCAGTCCTGTGGAGCAGAGACTGGAGTGCCTGGCTCGCGATGGCTTGAAGGATGACCATCTTTCCTCAACTCCGTCAGGTAAGTGATATTTAAGAAGTATGCTTTTCTGTTAGCACTTTCCATCTGTTTAATAACATCAGAAATATACAGATTATTTAGTGGCTCAGCTTCGAGCTTTGTGTAGTCTGTTTCTGGTGTTGTATAACTGTCACATTGACCCCCTTCATTCCATGTCCCATTCCTGCATTAATTTCAAGTCATTACAGCTAGCATATATATATATATATATATATTGAATTCTTAATTGGTCTTTCAGTGATCGGTAGCTAAATGGTGGATGATGATGTGTCTTTGTTGTTTGCTTGCCTGAAATGCACTGGTGAATAGCTGCGGAAGAAGATGTGAGTCCTTTTAGGATCTAAATTATGGATTGCCCATGACTTCCATGTTTGCAAGGACCTTTGAAACGCTTCCATGACATTCATTGTCATGTTCACACTTGCTCCTTCCTGGAAATATGAGCCCCTAATTAAAGTGCAGAAATTAAATTAGTGGAATACGTACATTAATAATAATTCATGTATTGTGCACCAAAATGGATGTGTTTGCAGCAACACATAGTAGTAATAATTATATAATGAGTGAGAGTGATACATACAGAGAGAGAGAGGGAGTAGTAAATTAGTAATTAAGAAGTTGAGATCTAGTAGTAGGTACATTTTGAGAGTTTTATCTTGGTTCCACCAATGTCCGGCACTGAATACAAGAACATCTGCTCCTACCCACTTGATGGAGTGCCAATGCAGCTTGTCGACCCTAATGGCGCTTCGGACTTTGTTGGATGCATTTTGTGGTGGGCGGCTGACAGTTACGAGGAAGGGCACCCTGTAGTACTGGACGGTGAGGTTGTATTCATGGAACTTAAATGAAAGATAGCCCCTGTGTTTAGTTATGGGGTTTCCATTTTCTTCATTTATATTTGAGCGGTTGGTAACTCCTTGTGCCAGCATGCATAGCAGGGACTCCCATTGGTTTCTTCCAATGGAGTCACCAGCAAAAACTATCCGCCCATTACGGCTTCTATCCAGGAACTCACTTGCATTCAATCTGCAGTTTAGGAAAACCCAATTAATTCATTGTACGTCTTAGGTTTAAATATTCACAATCAATCCCAAAGGCAAAGGGATGGATGGATTGAGAAAGTCTGTGGTTTAAATATTCACAAAGGGATGAATGGATTGAGAAAGTATTAAATTTTAGGGAATATGGCACGAGGATTATCAGCGTTGAAATTCATGATTCAATGGCTTTCACTGTCCTAAAGTATTTAATATTTTTCGAATTTTTGAAAGTTAATTTTGCCCAATTTTGCCCTTCTAATACCTGAATTACCAAATCGTGTAGGTCACCACCATCAAAGAAGTTAGGTAAGTAAGATTATAAAATCAAAAAGAAATTTATGTAGTAGAATATTGACTGATTTAAAAGGTGTTAAAAAAGTAATATACCACCCCCCTTTTTTTTTTTTTTTTTTTAAATACTAGTAACATGATGGGAGCTACTAAAGGTAAGTACGCACAAACAAAGGAAATAAATATTTTTGCCAATTTGAGCCAAGAATTGGTCAACTTTTGGATTGTCAAAACTTTTTGGATTCATGTTTGAAACTTGTTCCCCACATTAACTGTGGCTTTGAGATCAAATTTTTCTTCAATTCATGAATTTGAATTTTGTTAAATCTTCAAATAAAATTTGCAAATTTATAATGGCTTATCATTCCTTAAATAATAAATAATTACCTATGACACTCATTATATACAATAATGAACCAAAACGTACGTAATCCTCAACATTAAGGAAGGATAGTAAATTCTTGCCGTATTGTCACCCTTTCGCATTAATCGTTGTCTGTTTTTGTTTTTGCCTGTTTTTGCCTAACAAATATAGGGTAGTCTAAAAATATGAAGTACTTTGTATAATGAGAATATAAACAATATCGCTTTTTAATTTTTTATTTAAAAATGTATAGATTTCTTGGCTTACATTCATTTAAAGTATTTTAAATTAGTACTACTATTTGTTTCTTCTAACAAAACAGAAAATATTCCGTATAACTAAACACTTATATAAAATTAAAATTTTATTATTCACCATGGACGTTGTATTTATATAATTACTAATATATTAGTAGAAGTGTTTTGGGCAATTTGTTTGTAACCAATTTTAAATTCGACTGCTTTCACATTGTCCCGCTATGTAACATACTTAAAAAGGTTGTGACAGCGGGTTAATTATTGGTGATAAATAGAAAAGGATTTGGCATATATCATGAAGATGGTCAAAGTCAGTACAAAAATTCTCGATCAGACCTTTAACAAACATACATATGATAAATGTAATAGGTAATAATTTATCACGAAAATGATGATTGAACAGATTGAACAAGTGCAAGCAGCAGCGGCAAGAAAAGTAACAACGCAGGTAAATAATGCACAACGTTGAAATTAATTAAAAGAGTGGGAATATATATATATATATATGACGATCATAAATATATATGTACCTTGGAAGATCACAGTCCTTGGGTTGCCAACGCCATTTACGATAATCAAAATCTTGTCGGCCGCATCGATGGCACCGAAACCCGGGATCGAGAAAGGGGCAGTCCTCGGTGTAGGATTGAAGCGGGTAGGTGTCATCCCAAACCCATCTACCATTTGAATAATCACAAGAAGAAGAAGTAGTAGTGGTGGTGGTGTTATTGGAGGGTTGGAGAGAGCGTGGGTGAAATAATGATGATGATATTATGGTTTTAAAGAAGATGAGGGTAGTAGTGATAAGAAGAAGAGATGCATAGCTTATTTCTCTCTTAGTATAACTGAATTTTGAAAAACAGACAAGCAGCCACTGTTGTATCTTTTGCAGTATTAAGGGTTGTCCATGTCCATGACACTGACGTTGAAGATCCATGAAAACAGGAATTAAGAGATCAGGGGATCTATATATGTTTGAAGGGTTCTTCTCTGGATTTTATTAATTCCAGCGCGCGCGCACACACGCAGAGAGACGTTTATATATGCTAATAACTGTTTGATGAATTACAAGAATGCGATTTTGGGGGCATTAATATTTCTTACCAAATATAGTCTTTTGTTGACACTAGTGATGGATACATATATTATATATTCATTTAACCAATATATTTACACGGCGGAGTCAATTAAGGCTACATGCCCCAACCAGGCTCCACCATTTATATACAAGGTAATTTTTTTTCTTTTTGGGTTTCTATATATATAGAAAAATTCTATATATAGTCCCTCTTAATTTTTAAAATTATCTCTTCAAGAGTATCTCTTCCCTCTTACCCTATAGATTCTTTTAATTTTCTTTAAAAAGAGAGTTAATTTTCCTTTTTCAATTGGACTCTAATTATTATTTTTATTTTTTTATTTTATTTTTATTTTATTATTATTTTTTTTCCTTTCAAAGTTTTCACATTTTTTTCCCTCCTTATAATTTTTCTTTTTGCACTTACATTATGTAACTTCTTTTTTTTTCACGAGGCTTCTCTGGGTGAAATTGTCATGTCATGCAAAGACTTACAATTGTATTCAATAAAAATATTACTGAACAATTTTTTAATTTTTATATTGACCAACTTTTTATCTTTCTCATATTACTAATTGGTTACTCCGTATTATATTATGGCAAAAGTAAAAAAAAAAAAAAAAAATCCCCTAAATTTCACCAAGCGAGCACAGTACCCCATTCAGTTTAAAATTAAGCAATTTTTTTTTTTTTTTTTTTCTTAGTTGGTACTCGCACACACATGCCTCCACTGAGACTCAAACCCCTGACCTCTCTTTGAAAAGTAGGAGCCTGGTAGTGAGCAAATTAGTCCCCTGTAGTTTCAAAACTAAGTAAATTGTTCCTTTGCATTTTTACTTATTAATATCGAAAGTACCCTCTAATATGACCATTATACCTCTCTTTCTATAAAATTGTTTTGCATTCATTTATTCCCATTATACTCTTTCCGTTCCATTCGCATACGAACTCCAACATAAATTGATTTAAACATTTAAATATATATATATATATATATATATATATATATATATATCTGGATATATAATATAATAATACCAATTGGAAAGTGGTTCGACGGTACCAGGGCCTTACTTTTCAAAAGGAGGTCGGGGGTTCGAACCTCCATGGAGGCATGGGTGTGTGAGTACTAACTAGGAAAATAAAATGTATAATATATATATATATATATATATATATATATATATATTATGTTTATATGCATACATGCATATACATTATTACAAGTATATATATTATTATGTTTATATGTGATAGGGAAAAATAAGTCTAACCTACCTTAACCTAACGATAGAGGCAACTAAGTGTTGACTAGCTACCAGACTTCTTCGACTTTCGAATGATGATATTTCCATTGGATAAGAATGATAATATTTCATTATCAAAGATAATGAAAGATGACATGGTTTAACAGGGTAAGGATAACCTTGGCATAATTTGAGGAAGTCAAAGGAGTAAATCATATTCCCGATAAATCTGGCAACAAACGGATCTCCTCTGATCTCGCACAAGCGGATGATAAGGGAGACCTCAACCATTGACATCGGCTGAACAAATTTGATTCCAATCGACAGCCATAAATAGGGCACCAAGTCGTTAAAGAAAGTACGGAAAAAAACCCCTAAACAGAAATTACATAATTATTAAAGAAGGTTCAAGGTGACGTCCCTTTGTTTTGCTAATAATCCTGATGCGACTGGGCTCGGACGGCAAGACGAAAGTTTCCGATCATGGAAACCATCCCAAAGTCATCAGTTGACAATGGGTTTCCATGTTCTTATATAAGGACGGGTCTTTACATCATGATTACCCGTCCATCATATTAGGGGCAAAACGATGGTTGCGTGATGCCACCCAGTGTACGATGACAATAATCAAAATTTGGCACGTCGACCCAGGCAGTCCAATGTGGTGTTTTCCATCTAGCAATGCTTGGTCTTCTCACTACTGAGGTTTTGTCGTTAAAGACCAAACTTTATCTCATATTTGGTAGAAGCCAACTACCAAGGCCTGATCGTTGAAGACTAAGGCCTGGTCTTTCTGCACCTATATAAATGACTAAGTCTCTACCCATTAAGAAGATCACTACCAACAAGGGGGTCTCTACTTACTAGTAAAGCCTCCACCACTGAGGATGTCTCTAACAACGGAATCTCATTACTTCGTCCGTTCGTGCAATCAAGGTGGCCTTCTACACCCAAAAATGTATCGAGGCCTTCAGGTCCAAGGAGGTCCAGTGTCCCTCAAGATCCCATGTCAATGAGGTCTGTATTCCCAAGGAGGTTCCTAAGTTAAGGGCTATCATTGGACCCAACGAGGTACTGGCCACCAGACCATCATCTGTCAGCCGTTGGGTACCACGCCCTCATCCACCAGGCATCAAGCCAATCACTAGACACCAAGCCTCCACCTACCAAACGACAGTCGTCACCTCTCTTCCTTTGCAGGAACTGCCTATCAACTTCAGATTATGCAGAATTTTGGATTGATAATCCATTGCAGGTTAATTTTCAGTAATCATTTCTTACACAATCGAATATTTTTAGACAACTATAAATTGTTGCAGCACCAGATACCCCGTCTGCTGTATAAACGTCTATAGAATAGGTCATCACCCAAGATCCCACCATCGGGGGCAGAATAGTGGATCACACGATATCAATCGTCGATCTTCATATGATGACAAGGTTTAGAAGATTGACGTACCAACCTTGGTACATTGAGCTAGTTGGGTTCCTAGTCTCTCTCCTTTAGCGACTTCTCGGGGGGCACTAGTCGTCCAAGACCGATGACCAATCCTCCGAAACCATAACCTGGTAAGTCTCTACACACCGGGAAGGACTCTAAGTCCAGTGAAGTTTCTACAATCAATGAGTCCACCGTGTCTATGGTAGTCCCATGAGGTTTTTAACCATCAAACACCAATGATGGTCTTTTCTACCAGGAACCAAACATAGTCACATGCACTTCAAATTTGACGGGTCACTACCATCATAGCTACAAAACAAGGCAAGCATAAAGGATAAGTCCACGAAAGTGAAAAACTTTGACTCCCTTATTAAAGGGCAAACATATAAAGCTTGGGCAAAACATCCTTTTAAAGGGGCGAGCCGGGTGAAGCTCGTAAAAAATAACCCTTTATTAAAAGGGCGGGTTGAGTGAAGCTCGAAATTATTATTTCCCTTATCAATAGGGTATGCTGAGTGAAGCTTGAACATATTACAAACCCCTTACCAAAGGAGTAAGAACGACTACTTCCCTTATTAAAGGGTCGAGACATAAATAGTCAAACAGATCTAAATACGACTCTCGAAAGAGAAAATAGTTCCAACACCAAAAGTTAAATCATAAGGGTACAACCCTTGGTTATCATAAATCAAGGCTTGGTTATCCGAAACTAAGGCCTAGTCAACCAAGATTAAGAATTGATTGCCCAAAGTCTACAAAGGCTTGGTCATCCAAGGTCAGTGCCTGGTCACCCTAAGTCTAGTCATAAGAGAACAAGACCAGGGCCTAACTGACAAAAGTATGGTCATCAGAGATCATGACTTAACCTACAAAGGTCAGGTCAAAAAATGATCCTTCTCACAAGTTCCTGAGAAATTCATCTTTAAAGGGGCGATGTTTATTGATCGGTAATTTATTATTTTAAATGGAGGGTAGCTCCCTCACGTGTTATACCTATGTGGTAATTAATGCTTTACAAAAGTTAACAAAAAACTTAATTCCCTTACTAAAGGGACGAGCTGAGTGAAGTTTGTAAAACCTAACTCCCTTACTAAAGGGACGAGTTGAGTGAAGCTCGTAAAAGCTACTTCCCTTACTAAAGGGACGAGCTGAGTGAAGCTCGTAAAATTTAATTATCTTATTAAAGGTGTGACGAGCTGAGTGAAGCTTGTAAAATTTATTCCCTTGCCAAAGGGATGGGCTGACTGAAACCCATAAAGTTTACAACTAGTGTATTAGATTTTTAAAAGAAAAATCCAGTTTTACATCACAAAGAGTCATTGATCATGGGTTGAATCCATGCCCTTCCAAAATAGAACCTTAATTTGGTATCTGTATTAATTCCACCATTGGGAATAGTACCCAAGGAAAGATTACCTGAGGGAACATTATCCAAGGGAAGAGTACGCAAGGGAATATTACCCAGGGCCAAGAAAAAAAAAAAAAAAAAAAAAAAAAAAAAAAAAAAAACTGTTCAAGTGAACAGTACCCGTAGGCACTATTTCCAAAGGAACAGTGCACAGGGCAAAAAAAAAAAAAAAAATTACTGTTTAAGTGACCAGTACCTCGCATGCATTATTCGCGAGGGAACATTGCCCAAGGCAAAAAAAAAAAAAAAAAAAAAAAAAAAAAAAAAAAAAAATTCTACTATTCAAGTGAACAGTACTCGCGGGCACTCTTCCCAAGAGAACAGTGCCCAGGGCGAAAAAAAATAATAATAAATAAAATAAAATTTTCACATTCCCAAAGCTAGACAAACAAGCTTGGGAATGGGGTGCAACTGATAAGGAAAAATAAGCCTAACCTACCTTGACCTAACGATAGACACAACTAAGTGTTGACCCGCCGCCAAACTTCTTTAACTTTCGAACGATGATATTTCCATTGGATATGAATGATAATATTTTATTATCAAGGATAATGAAAGATGACGTGGTTCAATAGGGTAAGGATAACCTTAGCACAGTTTGAGGAAGTTAAAGGAATAAATCATATCCCCGACAAATCTGGCAACAAACGGATCTCCTCTGATCTTGCACAAACGGATGATAAGGGAGACCTCAACCATCGACATCGGCTGAACAAATTTGATTCCAATCGACAGCCATAAATAG